TGAGTAGGCCAGCAACTCACTCTCATAGACTTTCCAGAGTCATCATCCATCAGCTTGTGTAGAAGACACTGAAGACAAAGCAATGAGAGGCGTGGGAATTCAGAGGGCAGTAGAGGCTTTGAGCTCCATCAAGGTTGCTGTCCTTAGTTTCCCAAGCCAACCATGACAGCAGATGTGTTTTGGAAATGATGGGAGGGATCGAAGAATAGGAGGAAAGAGACTCACTCCCTTTCCCACTCCCTGACCCTGTGATGAGGCATAGGGAGAGACAAGCTACCCTGTTACAGGGCTTGCACAGGACTCTCCACTGGCTCTTCACCAGCAGGAGCTCACAGCATTACTTGAAAAGGAAGGATTTTAGGGGAAGTTTCCTGTTTGGGCTCAATACTCTTTACATAAGCAAATGCCAATCTTTCAGTTTACTAGAGGGCTTTTAGACTATCTTAAGTTCCAGTAAACATCTGGATTGCAAAATACTCTCTAGTTTTGGAGCCTAAGGGCAAGAAAGAGAGAGTCAGGCTCACAACATAGACTTCCTAGCTGAGGACATTCAGGAGGCGGCAGTGGCCAGGAGTATATTCAACCAGTTTTAACTGGAACATCAGCTACAACCTTTCTAGATCTTGCCTTGGTTATTCATGCTGTGCAGACACCCAGCCCAGAGCCAAACAAAATGCTCCACTAATCACACATAGCACAGATACATGTGACTGATTACTTGAGTAAAAGCACACACTACCGTAATTTGGATTAAGACCATGGCAATTCAGGAGGGGGAATCTGAGTTCCCTCTTCTCTGGTTCTTATCTTGACAGTCCTCCCATGCAAGGAAGGAAGGGTAAAGAAGGAAACAAAAGTCTCTACTAGAATCCATGGTATTTTCTTTAACCAATACCACACAGGAGCAGAAGCTTAAATTCCCCCTCCCAAATCACCATGTCCCCAGTCCAAATAGAGAGTGCCCCAAGTTTACCTTCAAGTAAGCAAGCCAAAATTCACACATACCTCTGCTATGATTTGTTAGCAGGCTGTTTCCTTTGTCCCTTATTCATGCTCTAGCCAGTCTGCTACACACACTGTATGTCAGACTGCCTTTAAAGACAGTTTGGAAATGTCAGATGGTGCAAAAGATGGCTGCACAGTTATTGGTGTAGCTGAGTGCATGGCTCATACAAAAGCAATATTGTATCAACTGCAAGATTAGAATCAGTACTTTAAGAAGTTGGGTCCAACTTACTTGAACCAATACTTAGACTGTGTATGCTCACATTCTGCACTCACTGACAGAGTCTCTTCTTACCTGCTCCCCACTAAGAGCAATTAGGCTCTTGTGTATGAGGGAAAGTGCTTCTGGAATTAATTTCTATCAGGGCTTTACCAAGATCTTCAAGAAGTTCTGAAGCCCCACCACTTGCTCTCCTTGGCTGTACTTAACTGAAGCTGTTTTTTTGTGATTGCTGTTTTTATGAATTTTAACTATTTAGCCATTTTAATTGTGCATACCACCTTGAAAGGGTTCATTTCTAAGGAGAGATTAAAAATACCTATGAAATCTAGAGTAGGGCATTGCACTGTAGGGGTGCAATCCTATGAATATCTTTCTAGGCACAACCACCACTGCTTACAAGCAATTCTGCAGAGGATTGCACTTTAATGAACTTTAAATTGCCTTGTTGGGTATCTTAGAAAGGCAGGTGCCATGAAACATTTCTTACTCAGATGGAAATCTAATGCAGTGGTTTTCAAGCCATGTCCTATCATCTAATGGAAGCCTATCGGATCTGCAATTAAAAGATCAGCAGTGGAAGTCAAGCTCCATGGAAGACAGCTTGCCCACCATGATCAATCTTGTCTTACAGCAAGAATGCTAGATATTTTGTAAGCCTCACTCTCAATTCACAGGAGATTCAAAAAGCCTTGCTCTGTGGGAATCAAGTATGCACTCTGGATTCTAGGGCCTAGGAGTAGGAAACCTTTGGCATCCTGCAGACACATTTGGCAATTGATAATCTGTCATGGGCAGCAGTACAAAAATAGCTGCCATGGACAATGGTGCTTTAGTCACAAAGAACAAGTAACTTGCCCAGAAAACTGAGTACAAGACCAAGGTACAAAGTACCCACATTTTTCAACAGCAACCAAATTAAGCTAATTTGTTAATTAAAATAAAAGTTGAAGGCACAGAGCACTTTTGTGAGCGCCATGTAATACATCTGGAGGCACAGAGCCATGGGCCACTGTATTGCCTACCCCAGCCTAGAACATTTCCCAAAGCTTCTGTAATCTGGAGCAAAAAGGATTTCCTGAACAAAGAAAGTTTAAAAACTACTGAATTTCCCCATTTCAAGCATTATAAATCAGAAACCTAGCATCCAACTTTCACTGCTTAGAACAGAAACATAGCCATTCCATTTCGAATAATAATATTAAATATTACGGACGTAAATACTGAAGAGGAGAACTGTTAACTATGAGACTACTTCTCTAGTTTAAAAATAGTGTCATTCACTAGTTAAGTTGGAGTGGTTGAGCTGACATGAAGAAAACAGATAAAACAGAAAGAAATTTATAGCCTGAAGTACTGCTAGTTTAGAAAGGATTTTAGAAGGAAGACTGAGACAAATCATTATTTCGCAGCCTCAACTATCACATTAAAAGAAATGTTAGCAGGCAAGGCACTGTAATAACAAAGCAGTAAGTAGTATTTGCTTGTTTGAACATCCTGTCAACAGAATTAAATCGCAATAATGTGTTGTCCAGCTTTATACTTCCATAGAAGTAGTGATAGGACAGTTGACTCCATTATTGATTTGAACTGCTAAACAGACCCCGAGTCTATAAAGCACAGAGAGTGAATGAAATTCCAGTTTACCAACATAGATAATAGGGAACTACAGCTTATTTGAGGGTGTAAACAGGGGGACTTTTGTCAGTGACAGTAAGATATAACTCTCAAAATAAAGTACTGAGTGTTTATTAGACACCTAATATAAAGTTGGTACTGTGCAACATTATATGTTCTTCCTCAACATCCCCTTCTGAATCTACTCCTATACATTGCTCATCTAGGCAGCACATTCATAGAACTGGCTCTGTCCTGGACTGCACAATGTTTTTTGGAGACTTGCACATTATACTTACTATTATGGATTAACAATGTAACACTGGGAGTTTTGTTTTCTTTGAAGAAGCCATGAAGTAAGTGAACAATTGAATGGGTGAGAGATTCTACACAGCAGAAGACAGCCTTGCCATACACATTTTAAATTATAGGTTTAATTTAAAAAATATACTTCTCCTACAGTTTGGCACCTGTTAACCTTGCTTAAGTCTATACTATTATCTAAATCCTCTTGAGTACTGCTTCCACTAGACCACTATGAGGTCTTGAAATACAATGCTTTCAGTAAACTACTCCGGCTTCCCAAATTAAATCCTGCTAAGCACTTCATATAAAAACCCTCAAAAATGCAGTGTACAAGCTTTTATTTTGGGGGTGGGGTTACATAATGAGTTCTGGACAACAACTAGTTGCTTCATCCTAACAGACAGCTTGTGGATATCAGACTAATGTGATGCTTACGTAAGTGAGAATTATACAGTTAATGCATAATTCTGCCAACATTATATTTTTATTCCAATTTTCATGCTTAAGATTTCTTTCTTTGAACCACTTTCACTTTAAACTGATTCCCAGCTAATAAAACTCTGATACTTCAGTGTCCAGCAGCATGTCTGATGTCATCAGTAAGTTGAGTCCATTTGGAAAAAATACGTAATTTCTTTGCTTGAGTAGGATGTTTGTAGCAGAAAATAAGGAAGTACTAATGACTGCATTAGATACAAGCTAACTGCCAGGCTAAAGGAGGGTCTCAGCCCAAGTGTCAATAAATCCACCAATATTTTAAACTACTTAGCAAATTACAAATGTATGAGCGTTTTGATATTGAAAAAGAGGTCAGACAAACTAAGAGAGCTGTAATAAAACAGTGGTAAGAAATACAATAAAATTCCCTCAATCAAACCTGAACTGTTGCAATTTGTTTCCTTTCAAGCCACGGCTACAAACAACTGAAAATGTCTTGCATTAAAAGGTTAATTAAACATGTTTACTAAGCAACATTTATAAAAGGAGGGAACTGGCTTCAGCAGTCATAGCCTTCATTTTCCATATACCATCACAGCATTTTAGGTAAAAGTCATCTGCAAAAAATTACTTTTCCTAGTTAACCTGATATCTTTTCCATGAAATTACTTTTGAACACTTAAAAACAATTGTGTATTTGATGGGGATGATGCGATTTAAACAATATAGGCGTGCACATGGAAGATTCCAATATCTCTTGTTCAGTAGTATTAAGTATAGTTTCCTTCTGTGACACCTTTTCTTGCATGAAAGACAGGAACAATGAAGTAAGGAAAAAAAGATGGATTTTACATGAAAATGAAGAACACATAAGAAGATCTGTTGCCCTGTTCCAGAATGATGCTGCTCCTGCACTTCGTGAGCCGCTGGTGTTATTATTGTTATTATGTTTATTTCATATAACAGGCCATCTCTCTGTGCCATTCCCCTTTACAACATTCCTCCCTCCCCATGAAAGAAGGTATCTTGCCTTTCCGCACGTTATCCAAGTACAGAGGGAACAATGCCCATTGTCTCCTCAGTGGACCCGATTATACCTTCCTCCTCACACACCCTCCTACCAGCGTCCCTTTTTAAGAGCCACAAACAGAACTGAAAAAATCTCCATCCTCGTGCAGCAGCATCCTCCTGACATGCACCGAGCGCCTGTCCCTCCCATGTTACGGAGATGCACTGGAGAAGCCTGCATGCGAGGCACTCGCGGATTGCATTTCAGCAACTGCAGCCATGTGTGCAGCTCTTCTCCAACCTGATCCTCCTCCTATCGAGCGAACAGGGATTTCCCTTCCCCCACCCCCATTCCAAATATGATCTGCCCGGTTACTCCGCCAAAGCGAGCCTTCCTCCTCCTTACCTCGACTTCCTTGTTCTTCTCTTTGTTTCTGCCCATGGAACTTCTCCCATTGCTGGCAGTCTCCCGCGCTGGGACTACAGAGATCCGTTGGAGAGGCATTTTGACAGGGCTGCAGGTTGCCAGAGCCTGATTGGACGCCTTCGAGCTCCGCTCCCTCTGAATAGCCCACCTGTATAATTGTTCATAGCCTTGCCTTGCCAGATCTTTATTTGTGTTTTTCTGTGTGCACGCGGGCGATTTGGTGAAAGCTGGATTTTGCGGGGAGTGAAAGACCTAGGTCCCTGTGTTTTCTTTTCCAGATAAATAGATAGCAAAATTAATCGCCAGCCGTTAATCGAAGCAGAGCACTAAGAAACAAACATCGTAATCCGGGGAGTTTGAAATTCTCATTGTGGCGAGTTGCCGCGACTCACAACTCCGCTGCTTTGTCACTGGAGCAACCTCTTCTCCACCCCCTTCCTCTCTCCAGAGCATTGTGGGAGACAATTCAATTTCTTGTTACCTAATAACTGTCATGGAAACCAAGGAAAAGCAAGGCCCTTATTCCTTGGAAAGCGGCGCTTCCTTCCTTCCTTTCATGGCTCCTCGGGCTCTTCCATGTTTGCAGCTGCCGCAGGAGCGGCCGCGGCAGGGCTCCTCTTTGGGCTTCCCGGCTGCTTTCCTTGCAGAAGGAGAGCCCAGCCGGTGCTCGCCCTCCCTCGCTCGCAGTGCCTAGGTAATAATAAAATAAAGCGCGGGGCTGAAAGGCGGCTTAGCGTCCTATTTTGGAGCCAAATCTCTTCCTCGGGAAGCGTGGCGAGCGAGCGGTGCCCTTCATGCGCCTCCAGTAATCTGCTTAGGTTCAAAGAAGCTGCCTCCCAGGGAAGAGCGGCAATTCAAGCTCATAGAAATAAAAATAAAATAAAAAGGCGAGGACAAAGGAAGCAGAATTGCAAATGAGCCTGCCCGAGGCGGCTAGTAGAAACTTTTAACCCATTCCTTCCACCTTCAGCAGCCTCAAGCAAAGGAAGGAAAACCTGACAGCCTGCGCAAAAGGTTTATCATGGGTAATGCAAGCCTTGACTCGGCTGGAACATCTCCAGCTGGTTCTTCCTAGACAGAGTCTAGTCTTAACCAGGATTTCCCAAAGCTTAGCCTAGGATGCTTATTTAAACATGGTTCATCCCGATGAGACTTGTCCCTAAGAATGTCTAGGGTGCCAGCTCTAAAGGGTTGGTTTTAGCGAGCCAGGAGTCTCCATCTGCTTGAAGTGACAGTACTCAGGGTTGGAATACAAAAACTTGGGGCACGTACAGAATATTATTTCCCTTATCACTGGATAACTGCAACCAATCCCTACATATCTTGGATTAAGGACTATGAAGACTGCAAGATCGATATTTCTGGTTTTAGAAAATAGTAAAGGTAAAGGTTTCCCCTTGACATTTAGTCCAGTCATGCCTGACTCTAGGGGGCGGTGCTCATCTCCGTTTCCTAGGCGAGGGAGACAGTCTCCGTGGTCATGTGGCCTGCATGACTAAACACTGAAGTGCACGGAACGATGTTACCTGCCCACCGAAGTGGTACCTTTTCATCTACTTGCATTTGCATGCTTTCCAAAATAGCAGCGCATAGTTAAATACGGCAGTAAACATGTACTTGAAAAGGGGGCTTTTCTGAACAGAAAGAAGCCAATTCAGTGAGACGCCATGGGTAAATGGCAACTTGTCTTGCTTTAAGCTGTCCCTTAAATTTGGGATGAAAGGGACTCCCTGTCCTGGAAACTGCCAGGCTTCCTCCACCAGCATAGCCTCACCTCCCCTGAGCTTTGCCACTTCTGGGTTGGGCAAGCAAGAGAAGGCTGTAGGTGCTCCTCTCTCCTCTCTTGTTCATTTCAGGTCATCATTGCAAGAAGGATGGGGCCCATCATAAAGAAAGTGCAAGTGGGCAGCTCTTACTCACGCTGTTGCCTTGGGCAGTACCGTGGCAGAGCTGGTCACGGATGGAGCACTCGCCCCACCCACGCAGCTGTACTTTGCCCCAGTGCAGTGGTGCTGAGGCCCAGTTAGCTCGATCCTCCGCACCAAGGGTGAATGAGCAGGCTGAGGTGTGCCCATGCTTTGCTTACTGACTCCTTGCTTTCTCTCTCCCTGCTTGCTGATGCCTTGCTCTCTCTGCCAGCTTCACCTACGCAGAACAAAGGCACGTGAGGAGATGGAGGGCAAGTAAATGCATGGAGACAGCTGCTGCTCTTGCAGGGCTCCGCATATACTTCTTCTCACCAGCTCTGTGGGTGGCACAACAGGGAGGACTGATTCACTGGGAAGAGACTTGCTACCTGCCATGCAGGTGGAGAATATAGGTGAAAAATGAAAGTGATGTGAGAGGGACATTGCACCCGGAGGGGGGAGAGGGAGGCGGAGGTAGCTGCGCACATGCTTTTTAAGCCTAACCACAGGTCCCTTGCAGCCCACCACAGTGCCAAGTATGGATCAGCAAGAGAGGGGATGTAAGAGCAGCACCTTCTCCGGCTTGCAAATTTCTCTGCTTGCTCCTAAAAGCATATCATGCTGAAAGAGATGGAAAACCAAACAAAATAATGAGTTTTGCTGGCAAAGCAACTTCTGCCTCCACGTAATTACTCCCCGTTTCCTTCTCTCACAGGAAGGATAGGACATGTGATGGCAACCACGCCCTCTGATTATTCACTTGCTTTCTCCCTCTGGAACACTCTACCTAGTTGTACATCCCACCTCTTTCAGAAATGCAGTGAGAGAAATTGGCCTTTGTCATCCAGCAGGAGCTTCTCTTCACCTACTCAGATTCTTTTCCTTCAAAATAAAAATAGCAACCTAGAGTTCTCTTTTTCAAATATTTTAATGCACTCTTAGTTACCCCAAATATCCGTCAAAACAGGGATAGGTTTGTTCAGATAATATAATTCCCAGGCAATACCACATCAAGCTTTTTTTTCTGCCCCCCCCATAAGTAATTTTTTCCCCCTACTGCCCCTTCAACATTCACGGTTTGTAATAGGGGGTGTACCCAAAGGTTTTCCCAGTTTTTCATGTTCCATGAAAATGATGAAGCAAAGAAAGGGAAGGTTCATTTCATTCCCTTGAATATAAAAGACAAAACTGGCTGCTGCAGGACAAATTTGAGAAGACAACATTTCAGACCATGTTCAAAGGGTAATGATATTCCCAAAGATTTCCTGATTCTGTTGGATTCTGTTATAATTTGGATTCTGTTATAATTCTGGGCTGATCCTGCTTCCAGGTCAACATTAACTCCACTAATCACTGCATCAAAGTGCATAGAGGGAAAGAGGAAGTATGTTTCCGGGAGATTATTTTACAAACCCACTTATTGTAGGAAAAGACTCACCTTTAAAAAAAATCTTACATGTTATTCTACTTGATTTTTTTCTTATTCACAGGACCGAAACTGCACCTGAGACCGCAGGATAGACCCAATCAGCACCTCCAAAATAACATTTGCTTGGATATGTAACCCTAAAGACTAATGCTAAGTCTCATTCTTGTAACATGAACAAAATAATAAGATGTTCCCAGTGGTTGAACTTGGATCTTACCACATGTGGCATCACACCTTCATCTTTACAAGTATATCATCTTCCCTTTGAGACCATACCAGTGGTTACAGATAACCCCCTACATCAATCAAAGATCCTGCCAGATTCAGCATTAGTCAAGTTAATCCAACTATGCCTTCCATAGTGGAGGAGGAGGAGAAGGAGCATAAAATATAAGGTAAATATGAGGCCAAACCAGCTTTCTTCTGACCTGGGCAGCCTATTTTCATTAGTGGAATTCAGTACCCCATGGTATTACTTATTGAAGGAAGGGTGCATGGCCTTTTCAGCCCCCAAAAGCAATGTATCCAGTGTTGGCTGAGCAAGGGATGGGTTGCTGAGGAACGCAGCCTCATTATTCTCCCAGCAGTCCTAATTGGTAACTGCGACTTTCCTGCTGCAATTAGCAGCTGTGAAGCAGCAATCTCTGCAATTCCGAGGCTGGTGGCAGGAAAAGGAGGAGGCACCCCAGTAACTCTGATCAGGATCATTGCTTCAGGGTCCCAGCCGCCTTCACAGTCATTTGGGAAAGCTTAATCTCCCACCCCACATCCTGACCAGGATTGCTGTCCCAGGATAGCAGTCTATGCCCTGCAACTCAGGTGTTCGACTTCACTTTGCAGAAAACTACATGGGGCATCTACAGACTGTGCAGGCAACATGGAGCATGGCAGAGAGTTCTATGCAGCCTGCAAGTTGCTCTAAATAATGCTGCAAATAAAACAGGAGGGTTTAAATGCACACACAGACACTTAAAATAAATAAATCTATTTTCCCTTTTTGATCCCTAAATAGGCAACAACAGATTTTAGAAAGGCATTAATTCTATCAATTGGGTTTGGGTTTGGGTTTTTCTATGTATGCAACTGTTAAAATATATTTTGAATTAAAATGACAGTTTTTGTTTTTTAGGGTATGTTTTCTGAAAGAATCTCAAAGCAGTTAAGAAACATGAATCCTTTCAAAACCAATGATGAAAAAAATTGCTTCTGTCTCTCCTTCTGTTTATTCCCCTTTCCATATGGTCTCTTCTCCTTAGATTGTAAGCCTGAGGGCAGAGTATGTTCTTTTTTAATTTAATCACTGTACAGTGCCTAGTTCTTTTTAACAGTTTTATAAATAGTAAATATTATTAGCTAGTATTGTATTCCAGCAATAAAAAGTTATAGAAGCTAACCAACTATGTCCACCTTCCCATAGTAAGACAATATCTATCATTTAAGTGATGTTTAGACAGAGGAAAACAATCTCCTACAACTTCCGGTATGTCCCAACCAGGCACTTGTACAACTTTTTTTCTACCTAAACATGCATACAATTGCTCCTTAAATCTTGCTTCTCCTAAGAGTTTAATCAAAGTAGTTTGTGAAGGAACCCAGGCAGCTGAAACTTGTCCAGTGAATCTGACTTGTCATGCATCAGTATCTCCTTGAAGTTTACCACCTGCATATCTGTCTCTGGAGGATACTATGTTTTCTAGGCCTTCAAAATCTGCCATTCAGTCACATGTTCCTTCCTGTGTATGATTTAGGTAGCACTCATAGAGAAGGCACTCTCCAAGCGCTTGGAGTTGAATCACTTGGAGAAGTAATGTTGGAAACAGTGAAATTCAACCATTTTTATTTCAAAACCACCATCATCATTTTCATAGCATCCTAGTTTGGACACAGACCTGTTTCAAAGAAGCATTTTCCCATTCAACCACCCCGCTGTCCAGTCCTGTAGCTTTTACTAACTGGTAGGGCTTGAGTATAAAATACAAGAGGTTGGCCTCAATTTTCCAGGCAACTTCCACACAAGGTGATCAATCAAAATATTGACATAAAAAGTCTCACTCTCATTTCCTTAGCT